ACACGGTTTACAGCTAACCTGGAAGAGGATCTATAGTAGTAGAATGCTCCAGTCCTTTTCCTAAATGCATCTGCGTCCTACACAGGAAAGAGAAGATACTAAGAACTTTAATGAAAAAAGATACATATCCTTTGGCAGAGATTACTGCTGTGGACAGAAATGCTCTTCACTATTGACTATTTCTACTTTGGATCTGGTTTGCATCAAGTAGGGTCACAGTGGCTGTGAACTGGGCATTAGATTCTTAGGGTTCCACTTAACTTCACCTAGAATTACCTCATGGGGCCCAGATACATCATTCAACCCATCCGCTTTTGAGCCAGTCCTACCTGTATTTTATTTAGTGTTCTATAGTTGCAGGCAGCAGATCCTAATTTAAACAGAAAAGAAATTTACTGGATGATTCTTAAATGGTTCGAAGAACTGATGGGGAGGTAGGAGAACTGGGCTTTGAGAAGAATGGGAACCAAGGCGGTCCCATGCACCAGCCCGTTTCCTGGCGGTGCACGAGCACTGGAAAGGAACCGGGCACAGCCACTTCCCTCTCCTAGGACTGCACCCTCTGCCCAAGAGCCAGTGTTGCAGGGCGCTCGGAGGGAGAGGCACAGAGCACCTGCACGCACACAGGGGCTAGGCGATTCCCTGGGGATGAATCAGGATGCATTCCCAAAGTGCCGAAAAGCAGGTGCAGTGTGGTCAACCTCTGCCTCCCCCCGTGATCACACAGCAGTCAATGGAGAAGATTAGAAACCACTGTCTGCTTCACAAACGAATAATTTACCAAAGGTTTTGAACTTCTGTGATGAAGTTCGGAGAACCTGCCACTCATAAGTCATATCATCTTGAACAGGCTGTTTGCTTTTACCTTGAAACTTAAAAGAGTCTCAGAGTCAAATCTGCGCTGCTTTTATGGAAGTCTCGAGCTTATGTTCGATCCATTCCTGGCTCCACTGATGTCTTTACTCTAAAGCGTTTTCTTTTCTGCTTTCTGCCTACTTCTAATTTATGTTCTGTAGCTATATTTTATATATGCTCCTAAGCTGCCTAGAATCCTTTTTTTTTTGCAACAAGGCAGTGTATCAGTAAATAGATTAATATGCAGTCAGTTCTTAGGAGTCTTTCCTAATTTTAATATCTTATTGTTCTCATTCAGAAAGTTGGATATTCAAGTGAACAGAATATGTCCTCTTAAAATCAAATATAAAAAAAAGTCAAATATAATATCAGAGTCACCTTGTCTTGATTGGTACTTACTCAAAACACAGAGTTGCTTTTTAAATCTCTTCCTTAAATTCCACACGCAGAGCAAAGTAATACCGTCAAAGTAAGAGGAATGGTAATTATTTCCCCGGAGAACAATGATTTTGCAATAAATTTCAAAAACAGCACGATTTAGCAAATTAAGCTTAGAGCCAAGGATATTAAATAGCGTTAACTTTGTAGAAGTAAATTCTGATACTACAGGCTTCAAACATTGGTTTGCGTTCATTTTGAAAAAATCTCATGGAGGGGCCCTTGCTTTTTTGGTGTGGGATGCTGGACTTTGTTTTTAAAGGCTGGAGGAGTGAAGCCTTTTCCACACCAGGCAGGATAGAAGGGCTACGTCTATGAGCGCACTTTGTTCTGCTGTGACTAGACCGCTGAGTCAGCGATATTGACAGCAGCATCCCCTTCAAAGGAGACTTGTACTTGGCAGCCACGAGTCTGTGCTTGGGCAACTCCACATGGAAACACGACTTCTTTGATCCTATATTTAGTATTGATATTGTTCATGTTTAAATGTTAAAAATAACTGTTTAAAGCCACATGCTGTATAGTTAATAATAAAAGCACATTCTCTCAACTTCTAGAAGTGTTTGCAAGAAATCTTGGGCCACCTTCCCACCACCTGTAGCCATACACCAAGCTACATCGTCTGAGAGGGCTTGAGCTGAGTGATCATTTGTTATGAAGACCTTTCCTTTTAACTCTCTCCTCAACGTATGTGCTCGAGCCCACTGAATTGCTACTTGGGCATTCTTTTTTTTTCTTGGACCAGTCTTTTCTGAAGAGAATCAAAGCATCAATCTTAAAAAAAAAAAAAGAAAAAAGAGAGAAAAAAGAAAAGAAAAACACACACACATACCCTATCTATCTATCCTCTGTCTATCAATCTATCTGTCCGTCCATCCAGCTAATAAATACTGTCTTTTTCTCTGCTTTCATTTGGAGGAACAGTTCACAAATGGAAGTACAGAAGCTGGGCCTCTCTTGCTTGAGTTAGAAGCATTCCTCCCAAGGTGCTGATGCTGATCTATTGTCAGACGGCACTGCACTCTCTCATTAATATTAACCATTTCCTCCAAAAGGTCGTACTCTTTGACTCACTCTGTTTTAAGAAGCCATTATTTTTACAGTGGTTGCTAAGTCACCATCAAAGAATTCCAAGATCTTTGAAGCACGAACAGATAGGGAATCGACATTCTCAGTTCCTTGGTCTTTGCAGGTAGTGTGCAGTCATTTTTGAAAGAAGTGGAGAAATTGCGGTTGGGTCCATCTATCTAAGTTGAAATACATTCTACCCTAGAAATTAAATGCATTTTGCTGAAGAACTAACCATGCCGTTATCAATGTTGCTCTGCTACAGCGCAGGTCATTACTATTGAAGCCTATCTAAATAACTAAGTGTATCTGTGTGCGTGTGTGTGTTGATAAAGAAAGCATGTGTTCTAGTTATAGCTAAGATATTTCTATAGAAGAAAACTGAAACTATATGTTACCACCTCAGTCTAATCAAGTTGAGAACTTAAGTTTCTTCTCAATCTGTTTACTGGTTAATGGGCTAGCTGGCTGCTAGATAAGGATGGAAAAACCTCTTACTGCTTTGTTTTTGTTTTGGTTTGTTTTTTTGTTTTTTTGTTTTTTTGTTTGTTTGTTTTTTGGGTTTTTTTGGTGAAGTCAAAAAGGTGACTGTATAGCTTAGTAATTGGAGTTGAACTATTCAAAAAAGTGTCTGGTCAACTGCTTTCTTTGATTGCTACTGGTGAATCAAATCTCTTCAGTCTAACCTTGGCTTCCAAATCCAAAATCACTCCAAACTTGCCTCCACAATGCCACATGTGGCAAATCTGTGGTCTTGCCAAACCACCTGAAAAGAATTATTTTCCCTGCACACAAAAAATAATTGTCAGTTCTTTAAAGTTCAGATTGTAGAGGTTTTGAATAATTAAAACTTTTTCTACGCCTCGGTAGCACTCCCAAAGGTTAAATACGTTTCTGTTCTTGCATCTACAGGATAATTATGGGAAAGCGAGTGAGTTTCTTCTCTGAAAATACATGGAAACCAAGTAGTTATTTGTGCCTGCAAATCCTTTTGGGTAAAGAACCAGCAAGATAATAAATTGTTTTTGCTAAAAACAGGAAGTTTGGCAAAGATGCAAAAGTACAGCTAAACTTTGGCCAGGCAACCCAAAACATTGTGTTCTTCTTTGGAAGTATTTCCAGCAAGAAAAAAAGTGTGGAGTGCCTTGAATACATAGTTTCAGAAACAGTGAAGGCATCTGGCAATAGGAACTGCTTGCCAAGCTTGTGGTTGTGCTGTGCTTGCGGATGTGAGGATGTGCCAGTTTTCAGTGACTTCTGTCATGCGCAGCTGGAAACCCATGCATCGATAAGATCTTGAATGCTGCAAAGTCCAAAAAGATTCTAGAAACTGTGCCCCCTTCTCACTCTCTTCATCCAAGCTGTAGAAAATCTCAAAGAAAAGAAATTTCTTGGAGTTTAGGTAGAAAAAAAGTCAACCTTCGATTTCTCAGGGAAACCTGATTAAGGCAGGAGTGTTCAATCCGTTGAAACATTCTGGAAGTTGTTAGTTGTTTTTTTTTTAATTCCCCCTCCCTTTCCTCAAATTCCTCATACTCACACTTGCCAGCTTTATTAATATGACTGTGATTATGTGGCATCTGTTTTGGACAGACCCGATAGGATTGTAATTTCTACTTTAGACCATCAGTCTGGAAAGACTTCAAAATGTGGGCCAGAAAAAATAAAGAAATTAACCCAAGACGTCTGGAAAGGAGAGCATTGTGCTCTGTCAGCTGGAGCCGCAGGGGACCCTGGGGTGTCCTGACTGGAGGAGGATGGGCTGCAGAAACGGCGCCCCGGGCGGACGGGTTGGCGGGGCCCCTTCCAGCTGGCAGAGGCAATGGGAGCCTTTTGTTCTCCTACACTGGGTGATTTAGCTTGTGGTTCTGATTTTAGGATTCTAGGAGAGGAACTCCCCACTTGAGTTCTTACCACTTATTTGGGACTAGAGGCAATGGTCCAGCTCCCTTAGTTGCTTATGTGAGTGGTGGGAGCAGGAGGCAGAGTGTCCCATGAGGGTCTGCAAATGGAGCCTGTGCCTCAGGCTCAGGACCTTGGGGACACCTGTGCTGGGGCAGCAGGGGCAGGCCCGAGGCAAATAGCCCCTGCCTTCTTTCTTCCGAGATGGGCTTGCTCTGGTCCCTGTTCTGTCTGTGATGGCTGGTTTTACCTTTGAGGCACCTATTGATTTTAATTGGAAACTGTTATCACATCTGTATCTATATGTGATCAACACATGTTGGCCCACAGTGTGATTCCTCTACCCAGGAGCCAGGTGGAAATGCCTTTGGTTTTCTCAGCATGAATTTATTCTTTTTAGGGACAAGTGCTACCAGCTCTGAGATTGTTATATTAAAAAAAAAATCTATTTTTAAAATTTTAGTATAACAACTTACTATAACAAATAAAGGCTGTACATTTATATATAATATAACATAATATAATACAAATAATATAATAATAAAGTCTTCACTATATATTTATATTTACCTATTCATAGGTATACTGTATATAAATACATAATCTTTATTTGTTGAATAGAAAATAATTGGATTTTTTTAGGGATCTTGGAGACAGAAAAAGAAACAAATAAGAACACCCTTTAATTTACTGCTTAGACATAACCTTTATTTGCATTTTGATGTAATTCTTTTCCATCTTTTTTCTATGATTTTGTTTCGAATTATTAAATTGGGACGCTATTACACACTGCAAGCATTTTACCGTACATTATTTTTAAACATTTTCCCACTTCATTAAGCATAAAGATGTTATTTTAAAGGGCTTCATAACGTTCCATTCTATGAATATTCTCATTGGAGTTAAAGTGTTCCCTTTTTTTTTTAACATCATGATGAATATCTTTGTCTGCATTTGTATTTTCTTAGGATAGAATTATTGGATTTTAAGGAAGTCTTTTTGAAAATTCTTGAGAGCTGATGGTTATTTTTTGAAATTACAAGGGATTTGCTTTTCTTAGAAAGGGAGAGATCTTACCACAACCAGGGAATACTGGGTGCTGAAGTGACTTCCGGCAGAACTAATGAGTCAAACAAACCACAAACAAAACAAACACACACACAAACAAATGAAATAAACACACTGTATATACACACTAGCTATACTATATATCAATGATATAGTATGTATGTATACGTGTGTGTATGTGTATACGTTTATGTATTTGTGTATACTGAACAAGGAGAGGGAGGAAGAAAACTCTGCTTCTCTCCCACCCTACTCACCGTGGATTGCTTTTGATCTCTAAGAGGGAGGGAGGGAGGGAGGGAGGCGGGAAGACAGGGGAACAGCTTTAGGGCAAGCTTGGTGATTCTTTGGGCACAAGGAACACTGCGTGGGAGACCTGAGGAGCAGAGCGGAGGAGATGGCCTTTCTCCCCACTTCTGCATGGGCCCTGGCTCCACGCTGGCCCTCGAGGACCGAGAGCTTGGGTGGCTCCAGCAGGCAGCACCCTGCCTACACATGACTGCTTTCTTGGGTAGTACACGGTGAAAACTTTGAAGCTCCTTCGGGTGGAGTTTCTAGAAAGGAGGGCGCCTGAGCGGCAGGGAGCGCGTGGAACAGATGCCCGCGGGTTATGCTCCTGGCGGACGGGTTCGCCAGCGCTTGTGAGATGCCCCTGGGGAGGTGGGGGTCTTGGAACCGAAATCTGTTCGGGTGGCTGCAGGAATTGGACTTCGTATTTGAGCATCCAGGGCTTTTTTTTTTTTTTGGCCAATGAGAGGTGTGTTTAACTGCTGCTCCTGTGACTTTTATCTGTGTCCACAACTTGGCCACGCTGAGGGTTGTTGGCTTTCATATATGGAATACTCCATTCATCAAGATGAAGAAAATAGAGTGGAAACCGAAAAAAGAGGGGAAATGGTGATTAAAGGGGAAAACATGAAGCCGTGCAAATCTCAAGTTTGCAGAAACTGGAGCTTGGAGTGAGAAGGAGGCTCAGACTTGCAGAACGTACAGGCTGGAAGGAACAGCAAGGTCCTCTTCCATTTCAACGCCTTCATTTTACAGAGGAGGCATCCGAGGCCCTGAGGGAGTTGCCACTTCCTCCAAGTCACGCAGAGAGTCGGTGTGAGCCAGCGCGCAGGTCTGCTGACACTTCAACCGGAGCCCCGTCCTCTGCCTGCCGCTGCCTCTCTGGTCAAGGACCTGCAGCCTGTAGGTGCTATTAACGAGGGGGCAGTGCTCACGAGTTGTTGGTCCGTTTGGGCTTCTCTGTCAGAGCACCATAGAGCGGGGAGCTTTATTTCTCACAGTTCCGGAGGATGGAAGTCCAAGATCAGGCACCAGCGTGGTTCCGGTGACGGCCCTTTTCCCGCTGGCAGACTGCCGACGTCTCCTCGTATCCCCGCTGGCAGAGTGAGAGATGGTGTACGCAAGCTCTCTCTCCAGTCTTCTTATCAGGGCACTAATCCCATTCGTGAAGGTTCGTCTTCACGACCTTATTTACTCCTGGTCACTCCCAGAGGCCTCCCCTCCAAATACCGTCACACCGTGGGTAGGGTATCAAGATGTGAGTTTGCGGTGGGCGCAGAGGGTAGCATCGCACACAGAAGGCACACAGGTGTTGGGACAGTGTTCTCCTGTCCTGGCTGCTTTAGAATCTCCCGGGAGCTTTGTGCAGCCCCGATGCCCGGGCTGCCCCTCAGATTGATGACATGAGCGTCTCTGACGGTGAGACCCTGGCATCAGTATCCCCCGGGATCCAGCTCCCCCGGGGATGGCAGGCAGAGTCAGGGCCCCTGTGCGAGAGGGGTGGCACGTCGCCGTGTCACCACAGGGCCCGGGTCCTGGTGTTCACCTGGCATCAGGAGCCGTACTGCCCGCACCCCTGGCCCGCTTGTTACCTGGTGACTACCGGATGTGAAGTCAGGGTCTAGCCTGGCCGGTTTCTGAAGCTCCTCCCAGTTTGAGAACCTGAGAGTCTAAGTAAAAGGAAATAGACATCGTGCTCGAATAGCCTTAAGGAAGCCCACCTTTTCGATTCCTTGCGATTCTTCTTGGCTCTTTATTTCCTCCCACAGAGATTCCCATGAGCGCTTCACGATTTCTTAAAGAAAAAGAAATGAAAACGCATCGGGTTGCCTTGAAATCACTGGAGAGCTGCACAGGGCCCCGGTGTCTGGGGTGATGACTGAGGAGGTTGCGGGGACTGACACAGGCTGTGTGCTCCAGCGCTCCGTTCCCCCGCTCCCACCCCTCGGGGCCCCTTCACACTCCCCACAACCTCCCAGGACCTAGCGGTGGAAACACCAGCGTAATGCTTATGAAGTCACGCCCCACGAGGTTTGGTCTTGGAGCAGCGTTACGGCTGAAAGAACACAGTCCATGCAATCAGAAGTTATTTCGAAATAAATCAAGTCCTCTACTTAACTTCGCAGATGCCCGGGGTGAACAGCAAGAGGGCCCCCAAGGCTGCCCGACTCCCCTTTCTTCCCTGAATATGCCCCCCGCCCCCACGCAGGCCGCCAGGCTTTCCAAACTCTCCCCCAAGCCCCCCCCCCCCCCGGCCTCTGCCTCCCACACTCCTTTTCTCCTGCTTGTTTTCACCCAGATCTCCATCTGGAAGCCCCAGAGTCTCCCCTCTCATCTCCTGGAGGCAGGGCTGACCTCAGAGGGCGGAAGGAGGCGAACACTGAAGCTTAGAACGCTGGATGCAGAATGAGAGCAAAGGGGAGAGAAAGGCGGGGACCCCCCGGGCTGGCGGCGGGGACCGAGGCTGCTGGCGCTGAACAGGCTGTTGCTGGGAGTCGGGTGCCCGCTGCCGGGACGCGGGTGCGGAGGGAGCGAGGGAGTGCGGGCCTGGGCTGCCTGGAAGCCGAGACCGGCTTGGGGCACCTCTTGAGGCGCTTCCCTTGCGCTTTTCACGGACGCAAGGGGTACCGAGCAGCGTCTCAGGTCGGGCTCTCTCCCCGTGGAGCCTACGGGGTCACAAACGCGGCTGTGAAACCGGAGCTTCATCAGGCCCGCCGACTCCGTCACTTTGAGAACATGTCAGAAACAGGCTGAGGGAACTTGATAAAGGTTTCCTTGGCGTTTTCCTGAACGCAGGGCAGAGAACTCTCTTCTAGGGGGTTTATTTATTGCCCCAGTTTTCTTTTTCTTTGTCTGGAGCCCGTGGGGTCAAGGCTGAGGGACTGGAGGGAAAGCCCTGGCCACGTGACGTCATTTTACGGGCGGGGTGTCTCAGTCTCCTCCTCTGTGGATGTGGAGGAGATTCTGTAGTGTGAGGGGAGGCCAGGCTCTGAAGACGGCCTGGAGCCCTCTTTGGGGTCACACAGCACGTGGGGAGCTGGGTGGAGAGTCATGAAACAGACTTGACATAGAGAAGGAACTACCGACTCGTGGGCAGGAGGGTACATGTTAAAACATACCCTATTCTGACGCGGAAAAGGGGAACGGAGCCATCACTGCCGACTGCATCCACCGTGTGTTTGTACCAGTTTCGCTCTGCCCAGGATTCGTTTTCTCTCCACCCCACTGACAGCAGCCTCGGCATCAGGGCAGAAATTCCAAAGCTTGGAAAGCCACTCACGGAGGCCCCAAGCCAGTGACCACAGGGACTTAGGGGAACGGGAAAAAAAAGTCTTCTACAAAAACCTGTTCTCTACTTGGCAAGGCGCTGAGTGAAATCGGGGAAGAGACGGGTTTTGGAGCCAGATTTCCTTGGGCTTACATGATGCATTAACTTTGTGAGTTCAAGCCTCTACGTTTTTGCATCTGTACAAAGTGCGTATTAGTAATTTTCCCTACTTCATCCAGTCATTGGAGGATTAAATGAGATCACATTGTGGCGTGTCTGGCACGGTGCCTGGCTTGTAGTAGATGCATAATAAATGCCACGTTTCTCTCCTTCCTTAGGTGCACAAACCCAGAATAATACTTCAAGGGAGTTTTTTCAGAGGATCAATTACTTTTGTTCTGCAGCACCAGTTCCTAGCTGGCAGAAATGAGTGTACAGGGTTGAGTTCTTTTTAAAATATGGGTGAATGTGTAACCTCTAAGCAAATAAAGTGGTGTTGGGTGTCTTCATGGTAGAGAGCTAAGGAAATGGAAAGCGCGCTCCTGTCCTCCCCACATCTACAGTGAGGCTGGGAAGACAAGGTACATGCAACTGTCAACATTCCCAGATGAGGAATAAAGACATTCGTCCTGTCCCTGGCTTGCTTGGTTATTAAGGCTTCTAAACACACCGCCAGCCGCCCTCAGGCAGCTGGTTCCCACAGTCCTCTTGCGTGGGACCAAGTGCAGCCTCTGTGTCCCCGGGTGACTCACTGCTGTAGCTCTGCTCCGGACACCCCACGCCACCACCGCTGTGGGCTCTGCTCTGGGCCCCCGTCTGCTCGCAGGTTTGCTAGAGCTGATCCCTGAGGAAGCTGGGGCTGAGGACGCCATCCAGCCTGGGCACCAGCTCTTCCCCAGAGAGCTGCCATTTCCCTCCTGCCCCAAGTGGAAGATTCTCCATGGGGCACCTGTTTCCAGCCACCTTAGACAGTAACGTTCGTGATGACCAGCTTGGACTTTGGAGCCAGAATGCGTGGGTTCACGTTCTATTTCCACTGCCTTCTAACTATGACTTTGTGAGAATTCCTAGTGAAGTTTCAGTTTCTATGTCTGGAAAGTTAGTACCCATCTCGTTCTGAGGACTAATGAGAGGACTTAAATTTAGCATGCACATAGTGGGCCACCAGGAAGTGTTTGCTGTTCTTAGCTCACGATGGCAGTTTTAGGTGGGAAATGTGTGCTGCACTTACCTTTTCTTTGTCGTATTTCCCCCAAGGCTGGGCCACTGGTCCTCTCTCACCTCCTGCTCAACTCTCTCTTTGGGTCCCAGGATGGGACACACAATCTTCAGTTCAGCCCTGCATTTGAGAAGGCAGCTTCCCTCCTCATGGGATTGCTTCCTTTCATACCAAGACTTTGCCATAGTTTTCAAATCCCTGTGCTAGTCTGAGACTCTTAATCCTGGCCTCTAGTAAGACACTCCAACTGTGCAGAAGTGGTTCTTCAAATAGCCTGGGGCCTTTCACGCAGCTCAGGGGCCAGGGGTCTGCTCGACACCTTTGAAGTCCAAGAAAGGATGTGAAGATCAGGCACCCTTGAGATCCTTATTAAAACCAACAGTGGAAGCCATTTTCACAAGAATGATGCAAATGATAAATGCTCCTTGGCGTCCAGAGAAGGGACTTCCAATTCTGTGCAAGGAGGATGCCCTCGTAACAGTCTAGGGTTTGAACTTCATCAGTGATGGTCTCAAAGGAGTCACTCTCGGTTTTTCCAACCATAAAATGGTGATGCTCTGGAAGGGTCATCCTGACTAGAGAAATCAAATACAGGCTTCAGGGCAGCCCCAGATGGGGAAGAAGAGGGGGTGGGGGTAGGAAGAGCCTGGGTATTCCACGGGGGGGCTGGAAATGTCTGTCAGTCAGAGAAAGGGAGGAGAGCCCTAGGCAAACAAAGAAGGCAAAGTGGAGAAGATGGTGAGGAAATCAGAGGAGTAAGAGAACAGAGGGGAAGAGGGAAGGAACATGAGAAACCCAGGCGGCCATTTAAGATAGTGAAGGCAGGTGCACACAGACTGCAGAAGAAAACAGGCTCAGGTCTCTAAGATTACGCACCTTCAACTGCAAAGCACAGTGAGCATCTTGAAAGCATCTTGTCTCAAGTGCGTGATACTTAGAAGTAGATTTTAACACTAAACAAGAAAATGTAGGTGAGAGGTGGTGGGGCCTGGAAATGACCTCACAGGTGTGCAGTCTAGACCCTTGCTCTCCGGACACACAGACTTGAATTTGATGAAAATGAGAGTTTGTTTGATTCTCTGCTATGATCTCATCCTTGACCCATGGTGGCACTTCTTGGAATGACTTCCATAGGTTTCACTCTGCCATATTGTAAGGTAACACCGATTTGCTTTAGGAAAGTGATTTAAAAATCTATCATTGATCTAGGGAAATCTTTTAAGGTCTATGACATTCTGTGGCTCAGCAAGGTCAATTTTTGTTCCAAAGTCTCCAAAGAAAACCCTTCTTGCTATAGGTTTGATTGATTTATTTTAAATAGCAGTATCATTCCTTCTTGTACTCTGTAAGCCATCTTGGTTTTAAATTTAGTTCTCTAAGATCTCCAAACTCATTCGACTCATAAGAAAGAGCATCAGTCTCTCTTCTGTAATTCCTTTTCATGGCCTGAGTCCTTCCGGTGCTCCAACAGTCCTGTTAATAAGGTGGCATTGCCCCAGGGTGTGATCGGGCACTTGCGTGGGACCTTGTAAGAGGCTACCCTGAAACTCAGCCTAGTATCTGGCCTCTGGGATGATCTTAAACCTAATGGATAAATACTGAATACAAACAACTAAGAAATCATTAGACCACTTGCTTAAGCAGCAGCAGATTAGTAAACCAAGGACAATGATGCTAAATGATGGATTTGATACTCTAGAGTTCAACCTCCGTCAGGGTTCCTGGGCCTGGGCCTGAACAGCCCTCCATGGTCCCTCTTCATGTTCCCTCGTTCGTCTCTGCCCACAAACTGGGCATCTCGCACGCAGGGAGCTCCTCACAGACGTCTGTCCTGCACCAGTTGTGTGAGAGACCAAAGCTTCAGCCCCTACGATGACGACCTTGTGATCTTGACTTACTTACCCCATAACCAGAGCTCCTCCTGACTAGAAGAGGTAAAACCAACACTGTATATTGTCCATGTGGTTCTGGATCTGTCATCAAACCCGCGAGGACTCAGTGTGTGTGTTTGTTACTGTGAGCTGAGGTGATGGGGAGGATTGGATGACATCGTGTGTGAAAGGGCTTGAAAAGCTGTAAAATGCTAAATCAGGGTAAGAACTGCCTCTAAGCTGAATGGGGTTAGAGGCACGAGTGCTACCAGAGGCCCACACACCACCTTTCTGCTTTTGTAACGACTTGAAAGGCCTGGTTTGAATTGAGAATATTGGGGTTCTTTGGACTTCCTTGGCCCCTTCCTACACATCTTCCCTTCTTTTTCCACCCCCTGCCTCCCCGTCCTACCGCCAAGGACTTTGTGTGGGCATCTTAGTTCACTGGCTCAAGCGCTCAACCTCCCCTCCAAGCCGCTGTGCCCTGGCTAACTCCACGGCCCAGGGGTGTGCCAGGACTCAGGAAAGGGAATCAGAGTGGCTCTGTGTTTTGATGCTTTTGCTGAACCATGGGGTTTTTTTTCCTTTCCTTTTCTCTTTTTTCCCTCCTCCCCCTCTCTCCTTTCCCTTCTCTTTCCTTTGAAAGTGATCGAAATTTGTCAAAATGCAAGAGCCACTTGTCTGGGTTCCAAAAAGTCGATCGTTATCCTTACAGCATTTTTCCTAGCACAGATGACCACGTACCAAAAATATTTAATGGCTGAAGAATGGATTTTGTCTTTGTGATTTTTTTTTTATATTTCTGGAATTCCCCAAACAAGTTTCTACCCTCTGACCCTTTCCTTCTTTTCCTGGGTTTTGTTTCTATTTTAAACAAGCTGCAGTGAGTAATACAGTTGAGACTTGTTTTAGTCTCAGTGCGAAATACTACCCACTGGTGTGTGAGTAACAGTGCTCCTGCCATCAGTGATTATATTTAGTTAATAAAGGGCCCTGAGAATACACACAAGATTTTGGGGATGCAGTTTTAAATGTACGTGGAGACTGCTTATTCCCTTATCGAATATTTAAGTGGCTTCCTCTCCATAGCGTGATGGCTTAAGATCCAAAAGGTACCGGAAGACATCAATGTAAGAAAGTATTGATCTAATGCAGTTGACTGTTGACGACTACAGAGGAAATTACCACCACCGTTAGCGAGAGTTGCAAGACTGGTTTTAAACTGGAGGTCACAACTTCGAAAATGAAAGATCATTTGGAATTGATGCTTCTAGAGGTTTTGCCCTAGTCGTAACAGTCCCTTGCCTCCTTACACGGTATTTGGATATACATACTATAAAAATAAGGCCTAACTTGGAATAGCACAGGCCTCCCGAGGCATGACTCTCCAGGTCTCCTACGGAAGCTCTGTGCAGATTCATACCGGTGGTTCAGAGTGGGTGAGCGCGGAGCATCATGGGTCTGAGGAGGAGCATCGGGGGTCAGGCTCACCCAGGACTAGATGAGATCCTATGTGAGAATCACTGGGTCTGCAGATGATGATGTTTAAAAGGAGGAGCTGTCGTATCTCTCAGCAAATATTGGTGTCCAGCCTTACAAGAGTCAAAAAAGGCCAACATGAAATCAGAGCTGGCTTACAGGTTTACTCTCCCAGGCTCCCCACCAACTGATTGATGTTAGAAGTTCCACCAACAGGGCTCAATCCACTAAACTTAAGGCTTTAATATCTATCAGTTCCATTTATCTTTTCTGGTTGAAAGTCTGGGAACCAAGATGGACGTTTTGATGCCACTACTTTGTTGCAGCTATTTGTCACCAAGGGCCTCTCATGACACCAATAATAAGAGCTAATTCTTACAGAGTAATTATTATGGTTGACTCTATGCTAAGTCCTCCACAGGCATTTCCTCATTTAATCCTTACAGGTTATAGTAACCCTATGAGATACTGTTACTGTATTTATTACACGAGAGAGAAAGTCGAGGACAGAGATGTTAAATAATTTAACCAAGATGACAAAGCTGTGAGATGGTGAGGCCAGGATTCAATGTGGACAGTGGGGTCCGACAAAACTCCGTCATCTTCATCCCTCTGAACATCTAATTTACAGAATTCTTAGTGAGGACTTTAATTTCTACAGGTTTGGGAGTATAGATCTGAGCTGATCTTCTGTAGACGCTATGGGATCAGAGACCCAGCTAACATCTGGTTTACACGTCTTAATAAAGAGCCAGAAAAGAGTGAATTCTATTGATTTCTGGGAGGCAATATAACAGAGTTCTGGGGGCCCTGAGTTTGAGATCCTAGGGAACAAAAGGATCCCCCAAATTGTCTGTACTCCAAAGAGTGTGAGAAAAGGAAACAATTGCCCCATCTGAGTAACAATTCAGAACCCCACTGCCAGGCTGGTAAAAGGCAGTGATTGATGCAGGCAGAGATGTTTGTCCTTTACCACAGACCATGGCTGTTGGTTCCATCAGGGCCTGGAACAGCTCCAGAAGCAGGCTGGTCCCTGGCGCTGATCCGCCAGCTCACCCCCACCTCCCCTACAACCTGGAGCTTTTGGATTGAATGTCCCAGGAACCGCCGTCGTATTGGCCTGAAGTTTCCAGTTCTACAAATCTGATCTCTCCCCAAGGCTTACCTTGATGTTGATTCCAAGTCTAGTGTACGGGGCTGACGATGATGTAAGAGACGAATGCTTGAAAACTGAACTTGGATCCTTTTCAGGGCTGTGGCAGAGTCTTAGGGGCTGAGTGGGTGGTGAGGGGAAAACTCAAGCCAGGAATATACCAGATTCTCTGGGATGTGTTCCTGCAAACTTGAATGCGCACACTGCCGCAATGGAGCGTCATAAGCTCCCCTTCCAAAATCATTGCCGAATGCAAATGGTGGTTTCCCCAAATGCAAAATGTGGGACAATGACCTTAAATGCTTTGCTGAACCTTAGAGGGACAGTGGTAACAAACACGTTTGCAAACTCATTATTCATGATATATTGCAACAGTGAGTTTCAAAGAATTAAAATGTAATTCATTTAAATGATGTAAATAAAAATCATTGTATTGCACTTAAAATACTGAACTAGATTTTATACCATCTTTTAAAAATGTATGACTATCATGGTAATGCTTATTAAAAATGATCTTTTTCATGCCTTTTCTGATGTTCAGTGACTCTTTGCCTTGACTATAGCCCAAGGGTGCCCAGATTTTGACTTTCACAGGCTGGTCAAACAAAATGTGAATAACAACAAAAACAAAAACAACAGGTACAGTAAATATAGTAATAATAAGAGGGGACTGACATAAGACTTGGAACTTTAAAACTTTTAATTTATTTTCTAATTGCATAAGTAGTAGCTAAATGCATTCTTTTTATTTAAAAAATGTAAACAATGTTGCGTTATTTTCAGGTGTACAGCATAGTGATTCTGTTATTGTAAATCAACTATACTTCCATTTAAAAAAGAGGCAAAATTAGGGTTTAAAAAGGCAAGTCTACAAGAAAGGATAAATGGAAACCTTATCATGTTTTCACTACAGATGAGTGAAAATTTCATCAAGGATGAGCCTGGTGCCAGAATCTGATTTGGAGAACCTGTGCCTGAATCTAGCCTCAAAAACAAAAGAGCTCTTCTTCCGAATCGCTCTTCTGAAGGAAACAAGGGAAGGTGGCAGGTCAGGGTGGCCGATTTCTCTTGTCTGCTGAGGTGCTTGCGGGCCCCACCTCCTGCTCCCGTAGGAGGCGCCAAAGGGGAGACTTAGCTGTGGGCCAGGCTGCGTGCACTGCCTGGGACTGCCTGCTCGCACCAGCGAGCTCTGGCTGCTTCTTGCTCTCAAGAACTGCTGGCTTCTGAGTGTGGGGCTGCTTCCTAAATTGTGGCTGGTGTCCCTGGGAGTATAGCAGACGAACTTATGAGGTGGCAAATAGACAAACGTTCTTCATTTGTATGTATGTCCAATATAATATATATAATATTCAGTATAAGCTTCTTCAATATATAATACTACATGTTAGTTTAATATTCATTACAGAAAAAGAAAATCCAAAGATATTTAATATCTAATGGAAGAGACATGGGTTGATTGAAAGAAAAATATTTGAAATTGGATCTGCACATACCGACAGAAAAAAAAATCAACGAAGTCGAAGTAAAGGAGGTTCTCTCATGATTTCCTCAGCCTTTTTTGAATCCCAGTCTCCTCATCTTTCAGACGGACTTGGTAATACCTCCCTCACTGGAATGTCATGACGAGCAGATGGTGCAGACCTTAGAAAGGGCCGGGCACACACAGGATGTGAATAAATGAGGTTTTTCACTTTCTTCTCTTCTACCCCAAGAGTCCCTTCTCTAGGTCCTAATCCAGAGTCGCATTCTCAGAGTTAAAAAATTCTGTTACTCAGACCCTAAGGTGTTAACTGCCAACAATTCTATCTGCATTAAAATTGTGCAGGTTCTAAAAACTCTTGAATCTTCTACAGGAAAACCAATGAATCTCTTAGTGATGGAATTTCAGGCCCAGAGATGAAATTCTTGAGGAGGGAGATATTTCTAGAGGCAGAAAAAGAACACTATGCAGATTTTTTGTTAGGCCTGAATGGAGCACAGGAGAATCCATGCTTGCAGTATTTCAGTGAACAGTTGTCACTTCCTCTGGGCCCAGGTATTTACTCTCTGACCTACAAGGCCAAGGCAGAAATCTATTAAGATCTGAAAAGAAGTATTTGTTGGAAAAAAACGAAACCAGCTATAGCTACTCATCTAGAAATAATCCAGGGGCTGTGCGAGCTCCTGGTTCAGTTTTGAACTGGGCTTTATTTTCCAGTGGACTGGAATGTGCAAAGAAGCCTGGCTTGCAGGAATCTCCCACGGGCCTCCCCGAGATCCTTTGTGAAAATGTAAGTTATACTTATTCTCACTTGGAGTGAGAGCGTTGTATATTGTCTGGAAACAATTAGAGGTATTTTTCCATTTTGATCTGACAACCTCAGACACATAGGCAATTGTGGGGGTGGGGTGGGGGTGGTTAGAAGTTCTACTGTTAACTATTTAAACAGTTAAAGTATTAAAACTGATTAAGTCGAATATGCTTGGAGCCCCAAAGGGTGGGGGCTGATGGAACAGGGAGGCTCAGAAAGGTTTAAAAGTCACCAGGAAGAAAAATCTTGGAGCTCTGGAAAATATTTTGTCACTGCTAATGATTTTCCAAGACCCTCCAGGAAAATAGTGTGACAATACAAGGCCATTGGGGGGAAGGCTTGAGCTGACATCAGAGGCTGCCTGGGGACCTGGGAGACTGCAGGTGAGCCCGGCATCACCTGGTTTAAGGTGTGACACCAGTACTATGACCCTGGACCAGACTGCAAAGAAAGAGCTGCAGAGCGATAGGTCTTTTTGTAAAGGTGTGCCAGTCTCCTGGAGACTGCATTTGGATTGTTAAAAAGAGAATTTATGGTGGTTTACCTGTTGCTTTGTTTTGAAAGAAGGCTGGAGTGGAAAGAGGTCAGGGAGGGGTCAGGGCAGCCCGAAAAATTGCTTGGGGGACGTGGCCAATGTGGACAAGGGATCGGTAGAACCCAGGGCTACCTCAGCAGGCCAGGTTTGTGAAAACCCTTTTCAACTTTATTTCAAAACTGAAGTTAGAGGCAAATGTTCCCACCTCTCGGCTGTTTGTCAATGAAGTCCAAATTGCCAAGTGCCATGGAGGACGACTGTGTCAACAGAACAAGGCTTTGCATCTGCCAAATGGTAGTCAGCAAAGGGACCTCTCACGTTTGTGTTTTCACAGCTCTGGTCTAGTGGATCCTTGCGGCAAACCTGGAGGGAAGCGGGAAGGTGTCGCCATTTCAAAGGTGGAAACGTGGGGGCTCGGAGAGGTGGGGTGCAGAGCTGGTGAGCGGTGGAGTGAGGATGCACGGCTGGTCCTCCCACTGCACTCAGTCCCTGTGCCCACACCGCGTGTGGCTGCCAGGCTGCCTCGGTGGAGAGCCTGGGCTGTGCAGTGAGCTCGTGGGGGCAGGGCGAGGTGGGGCCCGTAGGACACAGCTGTCCCTTCCTTTCCCTGCCTGCCTTTCTTCTTTCCCTGCTTCCTCTGCATGTGTCTGCAGCCTCCCGATTATAAAGGAGCAAGAAGGACAAGCGATCAGCCTTGGAGCAGAAGCAGAATACAAAAGCTACAGTGTGAGATGCCCGGGGTCCTAAAGTTCATACTGGGTAAGATAGCTCTTCAGAACACACTTTCTAAAATAGTAAAATTCCTCAGAACATCCCTGCAGATCCATCAGTAGATCAGGTCAGGAAGAGGAAGGCATCTCATTTTTTCCCACTGAGCATCTTAAGACCTTAAGGATCCTTGAAAATATACCCTCTTCTTTACCAGCTTTTTTTTTTTCAAGGAGAGGTTGAATATTTTTCTTATGCAATAAGAAGCCAAGTAGCATTAAAGACTTGAACTATTAATAACATTGATTCTGTGCTGAAGAAAGCTGGTTAGTCTTTTCTTAGAAGATGAATTTATGTCTAATCACAAATCTCTTAACTTTGATCAGAGACAAACCTTACCGTTGATAATATTTGGGCCTGTGGTTTGGGGGTCAGGTTGACAATAGACCGCTCCCATCCGTGATTCTGGAGCTGGCAGCCCCACCCCCGCCAGCCTCTGTGGAAAGCGGGGCAGTGGTAAGCAGAGTGGGCTTCCAAGGAGAGGAAAAGCAGGAGTGCCCGAGACAGGTGCTGGAGCTCGGTGATTAGCAGGACCTTTTGGTCCCTGATTCTGCATCTCTTTATTCTCATCTCACGTACAACTTGAATCAATGTGTTTAACACATTTTCTCTATTCCTTGACAAATTTGGAGGAGGTAAGAGACTGGCTCACAGAAAAGAAGTAAGAGTTGAGAGACTAACAACAAAAGCAGCACAAAACCCCCAGGACACAGGCATGAGAACTACAGATATTCATCATCCGGGGCCGTTAGTCCAGCCGCAAATACTGCCACCCACCCCAACAGGCTTTGAAGTCAACACAGTCCTTCTACCCTGTGTAATATTTGAACTTCCAAAGGAGGAGTCAGATTCGATTCAGCACACACTACTTGAGAAAACGGGAAACGTATAGTATTACTGAAAATTATTTTTATCTAAATGACAATGAATCTGTTTAACAATAAGCAATAGGCTCTATTGTTTTTTAACTTGTGAAAAATACATATAAAATTTACCCTTTTAACTGTTTATAAGTGCACAGTTCAGTAGCATTAGGCATTTTCCCATTGTTGGGCAGCAGATCACCAGAACTTTTTCAGCTTGCACAACCGAAACTCTTAAACTCCGTAAACAACTTCTCATTTTCCCTTCCCCCCAGTCCGTAGTAACCACCATTATATTTTCTGCTTCTCTGAATTGGACTGCTCTAGCTACCTCATATAAGCGTTTTCATACTGTATTTGTCTTTTGTGACTAGCATTTCACATAGCAGAATGTCCTCGGGGTTCATCCATGTTGTAGCATGTGACAAGGTTTCCTTCCTTTTTAAGGCTGAGTAGTATTCCACTCTGTGTACAGAGCACATTTTCTTTATCCATTCATCTGCCGATGGACACTTGGGTTGTTTCCTGGCTCTTGTGAACAGCTCTGCTATGAATGTGGGTGTGTGGGTATCTCTTTGAGATCCTACTTCATTGTTTTTCAAAGAAGTAGTTCTTCTGCTACTCAGAAAAATAGGACTTACCAAAAATAACTTTAAAATGAGTGCCTTTTTATTTAAATTATTTACAGAGAGCTGAGTTTTCTTTACAATAAGTGCTTCTGTGCAGGACCCTAGTAGCTGGGTTCGGGATGTTCCAGGACTGCCCATCTTCATCTCTGTCTCTGAACGAGCATCTCATTCTCAGCCAGGGCTGATCCGTTTTTTTCCTGCATAAGTTTTGCGGGCATTCTTTCCTTTCCACGTGCCTCTGCTTCCACCCCATGACCTTCTCTTCCCTAAACAGAGAAAAGTCCTGACCTGTCCGGGGCCCAGCCCCGTCCTCACCTGGAGGGGACCACCCCCGCCTCACCTCATTGGTTATCATTATTATGTCATCCAGATCAATCGCTGGGCACTCGCGCTGTTGTAACTGTCGCTTTGATCATTCGTTACACTTTGTTAGTCCTCATCAGACCCAGGCCCCACTAATCGGAAACAGCGGCCTTCCAAAAGCAAGGCAACCCAGTGACCAGGGGCAATTACCACATTGTTTGGTTTTTAAATTAGTCCCTTCTTGATGCTCTGATCACCGTCCGGGCGCTGGGGACTCAGAGACCCAGGGGGTGCCTGCTGCTCGTGCCTCCCGCAGCCGGCCTGGAGTCCTGCAACACCCTGCCGCTGGTTCCCCATGGAGGGCGACCCCAGTGAGCTGAAGAACACGGTCCGTGATGGAGAGGCTCAGCCTCCTCAGGAAAGGGAGTCCCTGCCGGGCTTTCTCGCCCACGGGTGTTGACACAGAGGGCAGTCCCCGCCGTACTGCCTTCCTCTGGAAGGAGCTCTGGGACCTGATCGTCAGGACCCAGCCACACAACAGCAGGGCTCGTGGCTCAGCAGAAGCCCATTCCCTTCTGGCCTCCACCCAGCAGGGGTGCCAGATCGGGGTGAGCGGGGCAGAGGCAGCCCTTCCTCGGGTTTCCACGGAACCGAGGAGGAGCTCCAGCCTCCAGCTCAAATGCCTGGCCCGGCCCTACAGAGGGGTGTGAGAGGGCCATTTGGCAGGACATTAAAGGTCAACCTATGCATTTTCCAGCACATCATTGTCTTTAATGTCAGTGTTTCCCCAAACTTCAGGCATTTCAGTGCTAATTTTATGTTTTGCCGTGCACAATCCTCTTTTATTTTGAAAGAATTATTTAAAAGGAACTATTTCATACTTTGAATAGAAAGCAAGTATTTAAAAAGTTTTTTTAATTGAATTGTAGTTGGTTTACAATGTTGTGTTAGTTTCTGGTGTACAGCATAGTGATTCAGTTATACATATATATATGTATAACTATATATATATATTCTTTTCATATTCTTTCTCATTGTAGGCTATTCCAAAGTATTGAACATAGTTCCCTGTGCTATACAGTAGAACCTTGCTGTTCATTGAAAAGCAAGTATTTCTTGTCTACTTTCCAGCAATGATGTTTAAAAATGTCATTTATTCCCATACCAGTGAACACCTGCCCCACCGGTTAGCCCACAGATGAATACCCCTCACCCCCCTGCTGGTCCAGCTATAGCTTCGGTCATGACTGGGGCAGGACAGCTTGGTGGCCTCTGAACAGTACAAGTTGGATCTGGTGGATTACTATTGCTAATGAGCAATGGTAGTGTATCCCTTTTAAGTTAAGGATTTCTATTATGTAGGTATGGGAATGCCTTGTCTTGGAGGAATGACTCTGATGGTTCACTGACAGGCTGTGTGGAATAGAATGGGAGTACTGGGGGCCGGGCATTTACTGAACTCCTCTTGGCCCATGTGGGGCAATGTCCTGTCTTCTCATGCCTGCTGGGTACCCACCAGACCTGATGTCCTTTCTGCTCATCCTCTCCCTACAGACTCCACCCACTCTCTTCTGGGACATGCATCAACTCTTAAACTTTTATATTGGCCAGAAGATTGGCATTCTTCTGTAATAAAGCTTCTACTCCCAAGAGGTCCACTTGGGGAACTTCCACCTGTGTCCCAGCACATCCCAAGTCTGCTGTCTTAGATTTCACGTGGTGCAAGTGTGGCCCAAATTGGAGCATTTCTTAAGCTCGTAGGTGGAGAGATTTAAGTTCCTTAAGGGCACATTTCATAGGCAGTGCGTACGAAGAAATACATTAAGCTCCTGCTTTCCATCTTCCCTCTCAAAAGCTGCAGTTATCAGGAGGGACACAGCTCAAGCATGCCTTTTGATTTAAGGTAAAAAGGAGATATTTTGTTTTTCAGTAGGGCAGAATATATCTTAATGTAGTAATTGAATTTAGTTCTATTTAGTCTAGTTTGATGGGGGCAGGTCCAGAGTGGGGAGGGAGGAATTGACATTGTTTAATACTTAACAGATGGATAGAAAACAAACAGTTTAGGAGATAAGAATGTCAGAAGGTTACCAGCAGCTGCGGGTATATAGTATAATGGCATTTATTGGAAAAGTTAGGCCTGTGTTTGTTAATACAGGTCTCTTTTTTATATTTTAGATTTACAAATTATTAAGAGGGAGAGCTGTCTTTTTGGCTAAATCTTGAGTAGACTGCTGTGTTCCAAAAAGGTATCTTTGTGTTTCATGTGAGCTGTGCCTTATCATGCAAGAAGATGTTTCTGCTCTTGAATGGTAGAGAATTCGTGGTAGTGTGGTAGTAAGTCGCTAGCATATTAACTCTGTGAAGTAGCAGTCATTGCCTTCTATTCTCAAATTTGGCTTTCTGAAGATCATTAAACAATTATAGGAGGGAGAGTAAACTCCTGGACATGTGCATTAATTTTCATGTCATGAGACATGAAATTCTACTTCTAAGGGAGCTCATTAGGCAAGGGCTACCTTTATACTCTGGAAAGCATACATTGCCACTGCAAGTAGAGGAAATTACCCCACTGGAAGTTTCTAATAGAAGCCTCTTGATACCAGCTCCTCTTGCATTGTGTCTTTTACCTAATGTGGAATCAGGTCAAAATGACTGCAGGTGTTGAGGGATGATGTGAGCCTGACAGGAGGAGCTTAGCGTTTGGAACCTTCACAGAGTCTGACGCAGTGACTTCCTCAGGGATGCTGGTCAGCGCTTAACCCAGGGATTCAGCCTCCCCAACTTCCCGGTGGAGATTCAGTTGCTTAACTGTTTAGCAGGGGTTCTTTTAAAAGCAGTGAGTTAGTTATTGCCTGAAAAGAGGACTGAAGATATACTAGGTGTGATTACAGGTAAATTGAGGAAGCCTACTTCTATGCACACCTCCTGTAAAAACCATTAGATAATTCTTTGGGTCAAAAGGACAATGCATTAGGATAAATAAGGAGGAAATAAGAGAAGTCACTGAAGGGAAAGTGGAACTCTTGACAGGAACTCCACGTGAGGTAGGATGGATTGGTTCTAGGGTTACATGGGGTTGCCAAAGGAAAATAGATTTGTGGGGAGGGCGGTAGGAGGGGAAGGATGGTAGGCTATTGATGAGAACCTGGCTAAACAACTGAAGCTCCAGGAACTTAAATATAAAATC